ATTATGTACATAGAGCACTTTATATTTGTAAATCTCAAAGTGATACATCATAAAAGCCATAAAAACAACTGAAATAAATAAAGATAAAAATATGGACTTTTTTCCTTTTTAGGAGCATAAAATAAAAATAGAACAACAATCCGTATTTCATTTTGCAATATCTATTTTAAAACACATTTAGCATCCATATTTATCTATGTAAACACAGCATTCTCTTAGTGATGTCATGTCTTCTGCATGCGGCTCAGTTCAGGGCCACTGGACTGTCTGATGGCAGTCACATTTAAATTWTAATGTGAATGACCACACAGAAAACTTTGGATCAGAGCAAAATATTTTAATTGAGTAACTGAGCCTGCATAAAACCTAGGTGGAAGGGGAGGGGGTATTTTTATAGGCACACTTATTCTTTTATTAATTCAAGCTATCAGGCTGCCTGATTTCATGTTTTACAAAAAGCAACAGATTAGCCTCTAAGTTATCAACCCCAGCTTTCCAGACCAAAATCTTTCTCRGTCACCTCCACCAGCTCCTGATGTACAAACCTATATGTTTTACCTGTTTATCTTTGCTGTCCTTTTCTATCCTCCTCGTCTTTTCCTCCCATGTACTCTGGTGGCATTAAAGCCTGGATCAGGCAGATGGACAGCAGCTGTGAATCAATCAGAGAGATCAATATTTCTCAGACTGGCTGAGAAGGTCTGAACTGACTGACAGACATGTGATGGCTCTGATCTGACACAGTCTGGGGTAAGTGGATTGGTTTAAGTTCAAGCCTGTTCTTCTTCATGCCTGGCATGTTTAGCTTCATTTTTTTAAAACACTGAACAATTTGTGAACTAGTGTTTTCACTTCACCAGTCAATATTTCAAAACACATTGACCTATAAATCTGAACCAAAGTTCAGATGTCAAAGGCATGCGTCACACGGAAAGAAAATAATGCCMATTTTTGCCCTTCCAACAATCTTAAGGAAAATCAGATTATCGTAATGGCTCTAAAGATAATCTGAGCAGATTTTCTTGCCGTGGGTGGTGAGTTAAGAGTGATCTATTGGCTCAGAAGGACGTCGGGACCGTCGGMAATATTCAACGTTTGATTCTTTTGGCCTGATATCACAGAGTGTGGCGTGTTCACCCAAGAACAAACAAGCTCGTAACCTGCTGAATGGGACATGTAGCCAATCAAAAAGTGAGGTGACGTAAACACGGAGGGGATTCCAAAATACAGGAGACAAAAAAAAAAACTGTCATGACTCACCAGAAAGTCTGCTGGTTGTTAAAAGTCCTATGGAATTGTTTTTCCTCTGGTTAAAATAGTCCACAAACGATCAACATTGTTTCTTCCTCGTCACAAATGTTTACTTACTCTGAACTCATGTCTCTCTGGAGGTCATGTGAGATTTTTCCTCTGACATRTGAATTCTCAAGAGATTTCAGGAAGTCTCACGTGATTTAATATCTGACATCTGAATGTTCATGAATGAAATATCTGTCTGTGTGGTGTGTTGTCTCTTGCAGTGTGGCTGTACACCACACACTGTAGGACCAAACCTGTTATAGCCATGCCGTGTGGGCTCTATCAGTCTTTGAAAACCGGCCGACTGTTTTAAAATCTTGTAGTGTGACTCAGCCTTAAYCTGCTTTAAGTCTGAGGCAATGGTCCTCAACTGGGAAAAGGTGTATTTCTCKTTTGGGGTTAGGGGATGAGTCTTGGCCTCAAGTTGAAGAGTTCAGTTCTCTCTGTGGTTTGTGGGAACCAGAGATGGATCGATGAATTGGGTCTTGTCCAGAGTATGAGGGCATTGATCAGGTCCATCATGGTGAAGAAAGAGGCAAAGCTCTCAGTTTCCTGGTCCATTTATGTTCCAACCCTCACCTTTTGATCAAGCGCCTAATATATTTCCCCCATTAGATGGAAGGGCTCAGCCTTATATATAAGGAGAGGAGTTTTGTCAACCAGGGGAAACATTCTGTTGCTCCTCTGCAGCAAATGGAGTCAGTTGAGGTGGTTTGGTCATCTGATTAAGATGCTTCTCTTTGGCGATTGTTTTTTGGATGGATTTTTTTCAACTACAGTATTGTGTCTTGTTTTTAGACAAACACATTTTTACTCCAAAATCGCTACAAAAAAAAACACGTTTCTGCATAGCTTAGATCAGGGGTGTCAAACTGATTTTTATCAATGGCCACAAGAGTGTTTATGGTGGTCCTCAAAGGGCCAGTTGTAATTAACTTCAGRATTTTGTGTTCAACTTTGACTAAATATGAAACATCACATTCCTCCTGTCATTGTTACATCTGAGTACGGCTACCAAACAATAACTGAGCTCTACGTGGTATTTCCTGCAAAGAAACAGTGTTTTAACACATCCTATTATAAACACTGAAAAGTACTATGTGTACAACTGACTAAATGTGAAATAAATAATACAGAAAAAGTAAAAGTGTTACTGTTGAGTTGTGGTGAGTAGCTGCAGTCTTGAATTTTAAACTCGCCCACTTCCTGACCAGGAATTCCTGCTGGAGGGCATTCCAGTTTAAATTTACTTGTAAGTGGGAAATTCCCACTTCCCAGTACAACTGGGCCATAGCAAATGGAGCCAGCAAAAATGCAGCTAAATGTAGATTTATGTGGTGAATTTTGCTGGCTGTCAGCTACTTTTGAATCCTGTGCAGCTCCACCTAGTGGTGGGAGGCTGTCATTTTGCAGGTAAAATAATCAACATGGGAGATGTAATTCATGGTTAATACTGGCTTTGAAGCAGTTTATTTTGAAACATTAATACAGGGTTATTCAACTAAATTGTTCAGGGGGGCACAGTTACTTAAATTACTCAAAGCCAACAGCTCAGGGGCTGGACAAGTATTGTTATCTTTCATTTTTTTATGTATTTTGTTGTATTGAATCATAAAATTAACATTTACAACTGATTGAAAATCTATTTTTACATGTGGCTTAAATGAACACAACTGCTTTATCCCATCTCATTTTCTTTCACCAAAGAGTCATTAAATCTAAAAACAGTCCTGCAAAATGTCAGAAAGCTGTGAGAAGAAAGCAAAGCGAGAACCTGATTTTATTGTTCTGCTCTCTGATTATTCTCAGGTCAAGTGGAAAGTCTATCTTCATCTACCGAAAACAACCTTTACTCTTAGAAAATTGGCTTGTACTGTTTCTTTTTTGTAATTACCATGCATGCAAGACAAATAACTGCAGATGAATGAGAATTGTTACCACTTGACATTGAGTCTGATATTCTCACTTCCTTCTCCTATCCTTCTTTTAGACAAGGTTAAAAAAGCAATATGTATTGAAAAAAAAGCTTTCAGTTTGTTGGCTCACATCCTTTCCCCACCT